TATCCTTTATGCTTTTTTGCAATATCTGTTATTTATATTTTAGGAACTGAAATTAAAACATTTTTCTTGTTTCTGTCGACATATAATAAAATGCTAACAAGACTCACTATATTTTTTAGCAAGATTGGCCTTATTGCTAACCTATTCTTGTGCTACTAAAAAAATAGTAAAATCGGAGAGCTTGTATAAAAAGGAAAAAAAAAATATTCTTCCCGGGTAGTGTCCATCACGAAGGGATAGACCTGTCAATCCCTTTGCGGACTCAGCGGCCAGCGTTCTCGTTTCGTAATAAGAAATAACGCGTTGCAACATCGATTGACGTAATACACAATATCGGTGGGCCAACGCGGAAAATTGACTACCCGGAAGCCGCACGTCAATTTTTTGCTCCCCCTTCGGCGCCACGCACGGCGATCGGCGTGTTGGCCGACACGGATGCTTTGTAATGCATTTCAAGTTGTGCAATGTGCGTCTCGCCGACGGGGAAAGATGGTGATTAACGCTCTGTGCTGTCGGGAAAAAGAAAGGGGAAAGAAAAATCTCTGCTTTCCCGTATCTTGCGCTCAAGTCGGTGACTTACATTCCTTAAGCGTAACAGCCGTTAAAACAGCGTCACGCCATCTTATGCAACAGACCAATGTTGCGCACACGTGATATTGTAATGTTGCATGAATTGACGTAATAATAATGCTCTGCAGATCTGAATCGACCTTCTGATGACGCACGTTATTGTTGAGAAATGCCGTATGATTGTACGTCGGCGCGATTTCTCTCCGAAGAGAGTTCAATTTGATCCCCTCTCGGGGTCACTCTCGTTGTATCAGAATTCTTATTGCCTCCTTACGATTAATTCTCGTGCAATTTGCACGTGCGTTTTGTTTATAAAGTCGACAACCGGTCACGATAAAAACAGGTATTTGTGAATTAACGGCATAGCGTACGAATAATGCCACTACGATCGTTGACTTAACATCTTATTTCTGTACACGATGCAGAGAGAGAGAGAGAGAGAGAGAGAGAGAGAGAGAGAGAGAGAGAGAG